GTTGACGTTTTGGCTAGTGCCATGACTGAGGTTCTCAAAAGCCCTCTGGTTCAGCACGCCATTGCCATGCTTCAAGCCGTGCAACAGGTTAAATACTTGCCCGAAACCGGCGAGCAGCTCGAGAAAGGCACTTTGCTGCGCCTTGTGGCCGACGCGGAGGCCAACAGCAACTCTGGCCACTTTGTCAACCGCACCTTCCGCCTCCAGTACCAAGATGGCGCTTACAAGATGCAGGTTCGCTGTCGTTCGTCCCATTTTTTTAAAGGTTTTGTTTTGTTTTTTGTTTTTGTTTTTGTTTTTTGTTTTTTGTTTTTTGTTTTGTTTTTTGTTTTTTGTTTTGTTTTTTGTTTTTTGTTTCGTTTTTTTAAGCAAGTCCACAGGGAATCGGCTTTCACCGTGTCTCCCTGTATCGAACCCTCGTGACTGGTCGTTGACGGTGGCTCACTGGCGCATGTCTCGTGTAGCTGGGATATCGCCTACTCGTTTCCATCGAACTGTTGAGTGAGCGAGATCGGCAGCAGCAACAGCATGGGAGCACCACCGATCCGACCCCGCTGAGCGTGTGTCTGGGTACCCGTCTTCTTGTCAAGATGAACAAGGATCAGGACCCCTTGATCAAGGTGTGCGCGCAGGCTCTTTTCTGCCTTGTACCGCTTTCGTTCACGCGCGAGCATACGTCCTTGGCCGATGCTGCGTTCGCACGCGCCCAGGTATCTCGTGAATCGCTCACGGCAAGTGTCTTGTTGCAGGTGGCCCATGTCTCGATCCTACTGCGTCATCTGAAGGAAGCTTTTGAGAGTCGGGCGCTGTGGAAGTTGGAGGAGTCGGTGCCGTTGTTGCGCCACTTGGCGTTGCATTCTGTTTTACACCATTTCGGCTTTGAGGACGGCCTGTCCGACAAGTCCCACCTCCACGCGTGGGACTCTCTTCTTGCTACCTTTGACCCGCAGTACATGAGTGCCATGATTCAGCTTCGCCGCCTGGCCCAGTTCATCCACGACCCACCCGTGACCCGCGTCAGCCGCAGCGGCTCCGTGCGCTCGGTCACTTCAGCCCTTTCCCAGGACGCCCTTCGTGACGACCTTGCCTCCCGTGGCAACTTGTCCTCGGCTTCGGATGAACGCCGTAGTGGCCGTTCCATCTCGACCAGCAGCTTCCATGATTAGAGTGTCGCCGCGGTGCATCGATGCTTTTGAGCAGGCTTCAGACGTGGCATGTGGTCTCGGAATGCCCAGGCCCGTTTGTCCGTTTGCTTGTCTGAGTGAGGCAACTTGCTTCAAACAGCTTTGCCTGTCTTTGTTGTACCTGTGCTCACGTAAATTGCGCACGAGCATGTATATATGCCTACCCCTGGCCCTCGTGCTTTTCAATATCTTCCAGAGTGCCCTGGTCTATTTCTTCGAGGCCCCAGCTTTGCCCGAGCAAGCTGGGCCCCCTTTGTTTTTGGTTTGTCTTTTTCTTCTTTTTTTTTTCATGGTTTTGTTTTGCTTTGTTTGCTTTGCTTTTCACGTGCCTGTTTGTACCTCTGTGTGTGTGTGAGCCCTGCGGTCCGCTGATATGAGTTTGCCTCTGGGCTGCCTGAGTATGTGTCGTGTTGTTCCTATCCTGTTCTTTTGTGTTGTTTGTAATCGCCTACCGCTGAGGCTCCTACCTTGAGGCCGTGCCTCGGAGTTGTGTGGCGAGCCGGTGTGTTGGGCTGGCCAGCCCCCTTATCAAACTTTTTAACCCGCATTCCTTTTTTATTTGTATTTTGTGCTTTGTTTCGTGCTTTTTGCTTTCTCCGAGTGTCCCTTGTTCGTGCCTCCTGTTCGCGTGTTGTTCGACCGCCGGGCTTCTGTTAGCGTCAAATCCGTGCTTCCACGCATTTGAACACTCCCACTGCTTTCGCACACACTCAGCATCGGTCGCTATGGGTCTTCCTATTGGTATTCCATAGCTACGACGACCTCACACATTGACACCTACTTTTGGACCCCCTGGGCTTGATCCTCCTCGTGGCAGTCACATGAGTAAACACCGCGTGTGACGCGGTCCCCACGATGCCTGGGCAGCTGCCCTGGGGCAATAAGCTTGTGGCTACTGTTGTTTCCCTTTGTTGTGACACCTGCGGTCGGGCACGAGTTGCACTTTCCCTATCCTCGGGATTGAGCGACTCTACAGCTATTCTAACGGTGCACCTGGTCTGGTCACTGTGAATGCTTGCCGACCGCAGGTACGTCAAGCCCTCTGCCATTCTGTCTTCCCCTTGCTCTCCTGTGTGCTCTGCTCTCTTGTGACTTTCCCTATCCTCGGGATTGAGCGACTCTACAGCTATTCTAACGGTGCACCTGGTCTGGTCACTGTGAATGCTTGCCGACCGCAGCTGGTTCAATTGACCTCAAGACACCACCAAAGCTTTCGCTCCGCTCCGACGGACGTCTCTCAAACCTCTCTCAAAACGCTTCCTCAAACCTACGCGCTTCCTCGCAACCCAAAGACGGCCTCCAGACGTGCTGGAGCCGGACATGGTAGCGATTGAAAACTTCGATCGACCGACCGCCCTTCTTCAATCTTTGCGCTGGATAGCATGTCCTCGCGCACCCGTTCGCGAACTGGGCCCCCTGGCCAAGGAACCCACGAGCTTAACTTGGAGTCGGACACGGAACCTGACACAGACCCTGTCGCGGAGCCTGTCGCGGAACCTGTCATGGAGCCAATGACCACAATGGCTCTGCTCGCCTCGCACGTGATCCAGGGGTTCCGAGCAAACCTCCAGAAGAAGTCGCAACGCCTACAGACTTTTGGCTTTGATTCTTACTTCTCGGCCTACATTGCCGTGACCAGGCACATGAACCATCAGCTCAAGGCGAACCTGGCAGCAACCTGGTCTTCCCATTGGGACCATGTCATGGTACCCTTCCTCGAAGATGCCCTACACCGCAACCTTGCAAGTCCGGACATCACCCCAGCATCCTTGGAAGACGCCCGAGCCCACCTGCACAAACAGTTTGGTTTCCACTTGGGCGTCGCCGCCCTGGCCCGAATGTTGGACGCGTCGACGAGCAATTTTACTGGACTCGCTGAGTTCGATGAGTGGGTGCAGGCGGTTGATTGCATGTTTCAGCACGAACCGCTTGAATACACCATGCTGACCAAGCTCCAGATGTTGTGCAAGCTCCAGCGCCAGTGCACTTGCAGCCGACTGGTGGAGCGTCTCGCCACTGCGGCACACCAGGCTACATCTGGTCCAGCGACCACGTTGACTAGAATCGTGAAAAAAGCTCTCGATGGTTACGTCCCGACTCGTGATACTCTGTTCAGCGTGCCAAGCAACCGGACGGCGCACAAGG